CCCGTGCCCGGAGCGCTCCCGGGCCGGGCATGCAGCCCGCGCCGCTCGGCCACCGGCCGCCACAGCCACAGTAACTGATTCTCCGCCTCCCCTTCTGTATTTATTAACGTTAGGGGGTTTTTCCCCAGCCGAAATATTGTAAACGGATTTTTCATATGGGTGACCCAGCCAATAATATACTCCTTTATCAATTGAAGTAGAACTTTAAAAGATAACAACAACAACAATAATAATAGTAATGTAGCATTTGTCATTAATTGACTAATACTTTTGAGTGACTTAATTTTTCAATGTATGTACCGTGCTCCACTGCAATCTCTTGCCTTTTGTGGATGCACAGCACGCCAGCCTTTGGGGGCTGTGCATCAGGTGTACCCCACGTCTCTGCCCTCATGGGTGCCTCTGAACTAGAATGGGTTTACTTTTTTTGTTTTTAACTCTCCTCTGGAAAGCTCCTTCAGTTCCATCATTGTCCCACTCCTGTGAGATCGATAGAAGAGCACAAAGGTTGTAAATAAGGGTGAGCATTGGAGGCACTCAGGTAAGGAGATTAGGGAGGCAAGAGCATCAGTTACAAGTCAAAGAGAGCTGAATACACAGTGACTGTTTTGCCAGTCTACCTTTAAAAGTGATCAGTTTTTTAACCCTCAGCTGGGTAAATAATTCAGTGAAGAATACAAAAATCTTAAAGTCATTTTCAGATAACCCATATTGAACTGATTATGTGGCTTGGGGGAGGCAGGAGAAGGCCCCAGATCCCCGATTTTTCTGTATGAATCTCTAGACTATCACTGAAAATTTCATTGCACAGCCACCAACTGTATAAAAGCTCTATTTGATGAACAGCAGCTGACACCTGATGACATGAGGTACAGAGCGAACATTTAATCCAGAATTCTTCCTGTGTTGACTTACAGCAGGATGTCATAAAAACTGAGAGCCTTGGAGTGACTTCCAGCATTGCTGGAATCAAAAGCAAAGTCCCACTCATTTCACTGAGACCATGGTACCCCTACTGATTCCAACAGTTGAAATTCTCGGTGTGGCTTGGTTTACCTGAGGGGTTGCCTGTTGCAACTGTGATAATCACAGCTATGATCCATCAGCACAGGGAACTGTGTCACTGGAGCAAGGCTCAGGAAGGCTGAGGATAGCTATTTAAGCAGTAGGAAGGCAGCTGTGGGACACAAAAAACATAAATTGTACAATTTGAGAGCAAAATACAAAATACTTAAAAGTTTGCTTTCAGAATTTGGCCTTCTATATAAACGTTCTGCTTGTAACTAAGAAAGATATAACTTATCTTTAATTGCATTTGCAGCACAGCAGCCTGGATGACTGCGCTGCTGTTGCATGAATGCAGAAAGAGCAGCTGAACCATTGCAGGCGACTGCGGCTGACTTAATTCCTAGCTCCTGCTCCAGGGCATGACATTGGTATGATGTAATGAGACTCGGGTGAAACCGTAGCGAGAAGCACCAACATCAGCACTGCCTTCTTGGGAAATAGGATTCATTCCGAAAACTGGAGCGAGAATCGAGTTCTGCGTCTCAGGGAAAATGGTAGGAGATGGAACTTAAAGGTACATCAGTGCATTTTGGAAAGTATTGAAAACGATAGCTTGGATTGTATGAAGATAAATCTTTATTCTCTTCTGACCTAGTTTCCTAAGCACACGCAGTTTCTGCAAATCTCTGCAAGAACCGCGGGTAACCTTCACCACTAACAGGACACCAGTGCTTAAGGAGCTCTGATGTTTCACAAGTTATCGTGAGAGAGGCAATGAACGTGTGAGGAGGAAGCCAAGTTTGCTTAAAAGTCACTCTATCTTTCAAAAGCATTTCGAGGCTCAGTCCTCAGCCACACTTTCTTCTGCTCTAACAACTTCCAGAAATTCTGCTCAAACCCCGGTTTCACACTGTGCTTGTCTCTTCCCATCTGTAGCCCAAAGAATTTATAATCCATTTAGGGAGATTAAAAAAATAAGGGGAAAAAATAAAATCTCAGCCTGTATGTTCCAGAAGTCGGTGTGTCGCACAGCACGCGCGTTTGTGCCCCCGCAGCCCCCCTCGGGGCTGTGTACAAACACACACCTCGGAGCCGCGAGGGGCTGTTTCCCCGGCTCTGTGTGCCCGCGGGCAGCCCCGCTCCCGCCCCGCCTGGACGCGGCGG